AGGTGAGATCTGGTATATCCGTTTTCTTCATTGTTTGAATACATTGTTGCTTGCTTCTGTTGACAGTTGTACATTATATAACAGCCTTATCAGTGGAGTTGGGCGGAATATTGGAAAATATTTTTGATGGTATTCAGGTTTGCTTTTCTTTTATCTGGAATATATTTTCTTTCATAGTGGCAAACTCATTCAGTATTTTAAGATTCTTTTTCTCCAGTGAATTGCAATGTTGGATTAATCTGTTCTTCCCAACTTATAATTTTTTGAATTTTGATTTAAACAGAGGCCTTTGAAAACTATTGCTAAAAGATCTGGTGATGTTTATATTCCTCGTGGTGTCTCTGTTCCAGCGCTTGATAAAGATACACTTTGGGAGTTTCAGCCTAAAAAAATTGGTAACCATAAAAGCATAATTCTTAATCTACTGTCAAGTTCTAACTAGAAAGAATATCATTTTTTATTGTAACCACCTCTTTCCCGCCTCCCCATTTTCCCCCTTTTTCTGAGATTCAACTTTTAATGTGGCAGGTGAATGGGACCTTTTGACTGGTGGAGATTTATACGCTGTATGTTTTAAACTGAATTAGATTTGTTGGTAAATGACTCCATTTTAATCTCCTAAAGCATTGTGGGAATCAATTCTTATTGCAGACGGTTTTTGAGAACAGTTTAATGCAACACCACGTTGCACTTCCTCCTGATGCAATGGGAAAAATAACATACATTGCCCCACCTGGTCAATATTCCCTGAAGGTTTGTCATTTTGTTTATTTTCGTTTGAATCTCAAGCATACTTTCTGTTCCAAGGTCATTCTTTGTTCAGTTATTACTACTTCAAGTTTTCAAGTTGTTTTAACAGTTATTTTTGTAGCTTTTCTCCAGTTTATAATATAGTTCTTTTAATACAAATGTACCCTTTAGTTTATTCAGGAACTACTCTATGTTGCAGTATGTGATTTTAGAATTTCAAATGTTTTTGCAGGATACTGTGTTGGAGCTTGAGTTTCAAGGTGTCAAAAAACAGTTCACAATGCTTCAGGTTTCATAGTTTTATTTTTCGGTTACTTTGTTGAAGCGACTTTGTTTTCTTTTGTTTATCCTTTGTTACAAAAGATTTTCTTAATTTCCATGTACTTTTTCCCCATTTGCAGACATGGCCTGTGCGAACTCCGAGGCCTGTTGCATCAAAACTAGCAGCTGACACTCCTCTGCTTACGGGTCAGGTAAAACTTAATTGTTATCAGTTGTCTTCTCCTTGAACTAATTCTGATAGCTTTCTTTTGTTACATCTTTTTATCAGCGTGTTCTTGATGCCCTTTTCCCTTCTGTTCTTGGCGGGACTTGTGCAATACCTGGAGCTTTTGGTTGTGGTAAAACTGTCATTAGTCAGGCTCTTTCAAAGGTGAACCTCAGTCAACTTTTCATGGCATAATTTTGCAATAATGGAATGTTTTCCTTATTTTATTGAGATTTTATAATTTTCTGCAGTATTCCAACTCTGATGCTGTTGTTTATGTTGGTTGTGGGGAACGTGGAAATGAAATGGCAGAGGTATCTCTTCTTCTTAGTTCTTATTTACATTTACTGAAAGTAAAAAACCTGTGTTAATTTGTTTTGCAGTTGGTCAAGCTAAGTATCTTCTGATTTTTCATTAAAACATAGTAAAAAATAATTAATGATTGTTCAGGTCTTGATGGACTTTCCACAACTTACAATGACATTACCTGATGGCCGAGAAGAATCTGTTATGAAGCGAACAACGCTGGTGGCTAACACTTCAAACATGCCTGTGGCTGCTCGTGAGGCTTCAATTTATACAGGTTTCTTCTAGCCTCTAATTGTAGCATATCATTGTGTTTTTGAGCTTTCTCCCCTTGCAAAATCTTCGTTGTTGTAGTTATAACAATTGCACTTACAGTGTCAAAAGTGAGGAAGATCCTTTATCTCCAAAATAAATGGGAGTGATGTATTCTGCATATTTATTTTCTATGCTGTCTTACTCCTATATCAACAACCTGAACTAAAGCATCAATTTTATATATTGCATGTTAATCGCTACTCTGTCCTATCTGCAAGCATTTTTGGTAGTCAATTTTCTATGCTTAAAAGTGGTAATGGGATATAACCAGTTATACTGATGAGAAAGATTGCACCCTTTGGATGGTAACCGAGATGGGAAAAAATTACTTAAAATTTTCAATACGTATTGAATGTCTCTGTAAATACTGTTATTTAGAATAGGTTAACTGGGTGAAGCTGTTTATTGGAAGAGAGAACGAACTAATGGGAGGTCTATTTTGACTTTGCTATGTTTTGGAATCCCAGGAATCACTCTAGCTGAGTACTTTAGAGATATGGGCTACAATGTCAGCATGATGGCAGATTCAACATCTAGATGGGCAGAAGCATTGCGTGAAATCTCTGGACGGCTGGTGAGCATTTTAAGTTCTAGAATGACTATTTTCACAAATTTCTCGCAGAATAGGCCTTTCTTCCCCTTCTTTTCTAAAAAACTTTTGTATTTTTTGCTAATTAACTCATATTGTCTCTCGTAAATAATTTCATTATAGCATACAAGTATAATTTGGCATGACACATATGGAAACCATTGACATTGATTAGTATTTTGTACAAGATTCATCTGTCTTCAACTTTCTTAGCTAACTCTAGTTGTTTTTGTCTTACACAGGCAGAAATGCCTGCAGATAGTGGATATCCTGCTTACCTTGCTGCACGTTTAGCTTCTTTCTATGAACGTGCTGGCAAAGTAAAATGCCTTGGAGGTCCCGAACGTACTGGTAGCATCACAATTGTTGGTGCTGTTTCTCCACCTGGAGGAGATTTCTCTGATCCTGTGACATCTGCAACCCTTAGCATAGTTCAGGTAAAACAATACTTTCAATTGTGCTTATAAAAATGGAGTAGCTACTTGGGAAGCAAGATTGCCTCAGAGTATCTACCAATTCCCATTAATTCAACTCAATTTGGGCAATTAGTGACTATTTTTGCAGATTTTTCCTCTTTCTAGTCCTGCTTAACCTATTCAGTCATTATGAGTTGATTTTTGCTACTTTTCAGGTTTTCTGGGGTTTGGACAAAAAGCTTGCCCAAAGGAAGCATTTTCCTTCTGTGAACTGGCTTATTTCCTATTCAAAGTACTCGGGTGTATGTACTTGATCTGTTGCCTAATGTTTTGTTCGCTTTATTCAGGGAGTAGCCTTAGTCATTTGCAACTGCTGTTGATTGTATACCTGCTTTTATGAACTTTTGTATTTGTTCCTTCAGGCATTGGAATCCTTCTATGAGCAATTTGATCCAGATTTCATAAACATTAGGACAAAGGCTCGTGAAGTGCTGCAGAGAGAAGATGACCTCAATGAAATTGTCCAAGTATGTCCTCTTATTAGTTCTATCTCTTGAATTTAAGTTGATAAAGTATTAAACGACTCTACCATCTAATAGGAGGGATGGCATTAAAAACTGTTCAACTTATCTTGAGGAAACAGGAGGTATCATAATATGAGAACCGACTGGTTTGAAGTTCAGTCTGTTAAACCTAATTAACCTTTAACAATAGTATGATGATGAATGGAACTTGAAATCACTATACTGCATCATGGCCACCTGTTGTTTTGGCCACACATGTCTGGAAACCTTTCATTTACAACTAATATTTGGCCTGATGTCAAAACACTGCAGCTTGTAGGCAAGGACGCTTTAGCTGAAGGAGATAAGATCACATTAGAAACTGCAAAGCTTTTGAGAGAGGATTATCTTGCTCAGAATGCTTTTACTCCGTAAGTGCTCCTGTTTCTTGTTTCTTAATTTTTCAGCATTAAACTTGTTAAGTGCTTAGATTCCTACGATTGGTTTTAACTGTACTTATGCACCTTTAATGTGACCTTGACAGATATGACAAATTCTGTCCCTTCTATAAATCTGTTTGGATGATGCGCAACATTATCCATTTCTACAACTTGGCAAATCAGGTAATTTTTCAAACTACGGTGTAATCAATTAGGAAGTGGCCTGATGTTTGTCACTGATTACAAAATTGGAAGGAAAAGTAAGTGTCATATTTTCAGTCTGCCAGTCACTCCATTGTGGGGTGACCAATTTTCCATGTATATTTGTGGGCATTCAGATTCTTTGACGCTTTGTGTTTTTTTCCCCTTTGCCCTTCCCCGGATTATTGAGACAATGGACTGATGATTTCTTTATGCATTGCATTGTGAAAAAGGCATTTGAATTAAGTCGGCTAAATTGCATTAAAATGGCTGGTCCCTTGACATGTGGAGTGGCTGAATGAATGTGCAGGCAGTGGAGAGGGGAGCTGGTACAGATGGTCAGAAGATCACATACACCCTCATTAAGCATCGTTTGGGAGATCTCTTCTACCGTTTAGTGTAAGTAACTTATTTGCAAAAATAAAAGCAACAATTACAATAATCCTTATCTCGCCAGTCGCCAGGTGGCTAGCTACATGAATTGTACGATTGTGCTCTATCAACATCTAAATCTCTCAAAATATTATTAACCAGAAGATCCATTTCAATAATTTTATTCGGTCACAGGACTCAGAATTGTCTATTCTATCCTCCTCACGCTATTTTTAACCATTTTTTCTGCATTAGATGCCACACTAACTCTTTCTTGTATGAAAAGAGTTGAGGATCTGTTTACCTGCCTGACGTTTTATAGAAAGTGGGCCCTAATCTGTTTACCTGCCTGACACTGCAGGTCGCAGAAATTTGAGGATCCAGCAGAAGGTGAAGCAGCTCTGGTTGGCAAATTTAAGAAGCTTCATGAGGACCTGACTAACGGTTTCCGCAATCTTGAGGATGAAATCCGATAGATTGTATAATTTATTAATTTTAGATTGCAAAATGTGTTGATGGTTTCATTCAAAGCGGTGGTCAAGGAATCCTGTGGTTGGGGTGATTCTTTTGTTCGAGTTGTGCAGGAATCCATCCTTGTTAGGTCGTTCAGATCACATCATTTTCCTGCTACAGGTTTTGGCTATTTATATATTTGCTTTGTGGAGCGAGTTTCTCATATTCTTCTCCATATGTATTTATGCAAATAAGTTTTTGTTAGAAATTGAAATGCTCCCAGACAGCTGTGATTCAAGTTTATTTTGGGCACTCGTTCAGTATTGAAAACTTTGCTGTCATGTATCTAATATATATTTATATATTTATTGGGAAAAATTTCAGGGTCTAATTTTAAAGGGAAATTGACAATTACGAACTCTGTGAGAATATTAATGATAATTATAAATATTGAATTATTAAAATCTTAATAACAAATTGTGATCTTTACTTGTAATTAAAAAATACAAATAATTAATTTAAAATCTATTAAATACACTTAAAATTATTTGTAATGTTAATTAAGAATTTATTAAAATTAGTTATGAATCTTGATTTTTTCCTATATAAATAATCCTCTTGAGAAATTAAGTAAATACATTTGGGATTAATTGTAACGTTGTTTGAAAATTTATAAGAGTTAGTTGTGAATTAAAAATCAGTCACTTATATTTTTTTTGTTGTTAATATAAAGATAAATTGCTTGAAAACTCTATTAAATATACTTAAAATTATTTGTAATGTCAATTGAAAATTTACAAGAGTTAATTGTGAATCATAAGTTAATTATTTATATTTTTGGCTATCACTTGAAATATTAACAAAAGATAGTTGAAAATCTTAGTAACATTAGTTAGGAATTTACTTAAGTCTATTGTGAATTTTAAATCAATCAACAAAAGATAATTTATTACAAATAAGAACAATGATTTGTTCTTAACATTTTAATAATTCAGGATTTATGATTGTTATTAATGTTCTTATAGTGTCTTTAATTGTCATTTTCTCAATTATAAATCACATGCATAGCTTACTTGATAAAACCTACAATTTATTACTAATGAACACTTGGTAAAGTTGGTAAGGATTATTATCGACATTCTCCAAGATGAAAGTTCGAACCTTGGAGATTGTCAAATGCGATAATTAACATAGCTTTAAAGAAATCATTTTATTAATACCTCGCTACCATTATAAGGTCTTCTTACAGTAGGTTTGGATTAATCTAGGACGAACAATAAATCCAAAACATCTTAAGATATCAGATGGTTTATACCAAAAAAAAAAAAAAAATCATCCAAAAGAAAAACACAAACAAGAAAACCACCAAACAACACTTTTTACTACATTTTCATTCTCTGCAAGCAACACCTTCGAAAAATTTACAAACAAACTAGAAAAATATTAACTTTTTGATGATGCCTGTGAAAAGATTGTAAAACTGTGATGAGGAAAAGTGGTATTAGATAACTAAAATCCTAAAAACCATGAATTTGGTGGAATCAACTATTACAAGCTTTTACCAAACTCATGGTTTCGATAACTATCAACCTTAAAAAAACAAAAAAACGGCTTGAATGCCTAAATTATTTGTTGAGCGCAAGGTGGTATAGGAAAATGAAAATATAGAAATAAAAAATCAAGTTCCAACCAAGGACTTTCTAAACCAAATTTAACATCAGAATTACAAAACATTCCAAGATAGAAAAATATTTTAAGCGTGGCGTCAACAGCTATTGTGCACACCATAGAAAATACACACGTCATAGAGACAAATGAAAGGTGGAACTCATATTTGTACACTAGGCTCAATCATCCAGGGCCTACTTTGGGGATATCGTAGTGCTCGCTCATGTTTGCCAAATACTGATTGAAATCCTGAATTCTGTCCCGGTGAGATTTGTTGGCAGTCTTAGCCAATCTATGAACATCAAGCTGTTCTCTTTGTTCGATGTATCGTCTCTCTGCCGGTGTAAGATGATCATCATAATGAGGAGCCTTCCCTTCCCCAATTGATTTGTTCACATCATCAATGTCTTGATCATTGGGATCCTTAGCTTGTTCAGCACTTCCACCTGCATTATCCGAATTCTATGAGACACTTTATGGTATGATAATAATAGAAAGATTAAGGAATGGCGGAACAGATAGAACTAATGAACAGTTAAATTTATCGCTACTTTATTGATGAACACTTTGTGGCCAAGCCAGATAAACAAAAGTAACTGATATTCTGATTGCACAGCAGCTTTTGCTTGCAGAGAACCTGCAAAGTTAACTGACACGTAACATTAAAATGGAAAAATGCCACCATTTTTTGGCTTCAAGTTATTGCTCTCCATTATTTATACCTTCCAATCAGTGAGAGAAATCATGATCTATTTTGATTCAAACAAAAAATATCTCGCTTCCAGTTAAGGAAAAATGCGAGCCACATGAGCAGGCAATAAGTGACCCAGATACATGATATTCAGAGACACCAGAAAAATGACTAACGACAAATTCATTTAATCAGCATCCATTAGGCACCAACGAAAAGAAACCTCACCCATTACCAGGAGAAATCATGGGATCAATCACTATTTTGTTGAGCTACACGTTCAACAGAGTAATTAAAATGTTAACTTTTTATCCCTGACCTCAGTTAACCATGACCATAAGTGCCACAAATCCAGTGGTCCTGTTATTCCAAAATTCCAGGCGTATCCTCAATGTGATCTTTCTTGAATATAGACAAATCAGTTAACCTACCATATAAATAAAGCAGCAGGTCCTAGCTACAGTAGCCTATATAGTTGATAATCTCACATCACCCCAATTCCAAGAGCTTTTTTTTAGCGATATCTTGAGCCATTTACTACCATATATGAAACATCACCAATTGGGATAAACCTTTTACATGACCTCAGCTCAACAATCACTTACTCAAATAATTAATTGACTGATAATTTATAGTCTCAACACTTAACCTTGAATGACAACAACCACCTTGTAATTTGATTTAAGACCTGAGTTAATTACATAAGCTATAACGAATCAATGCCCCAATAAAAAAAAAACCAACCTTCCAAAAACTCGTTTTCAGTGGATTCTAAGATTTGATCTTGATTCTTATTCTTCTTCTTCTTCTTCTTCACTCCACCAGCCTTCACATCCAGGGCCTTTCCCTTAAGCTTCAATTTCCCACCAAAAACATTGTCATAAGACGACATCTCTGTCAAGCAATCAACAAAGTCAGTGATTTTGTTCTACCCATAGGCGGACCTATAATACCCTTTTAATTTTTGTTCCAGATACTTCGACACAACTCGAGCCAAGTCATTTACAAGATCATACATCACAAATGCCAATACACAACAAACCCAACATTGCAAAACAACATAATCCAAATCATACAAGTCGCTAGCCAATTACACACCCTTCAAGCAAACACTAGTACCCAAAAGAAAACAAAAAACCTGAATATGTAAATATTCCGTAATTCAAAAGCGCCAATATTCAACGATTAAACAACCAGATTCAAAGCCGAATTAAATAAAAAATTTAAAACAAAGCAAGAACAGCTACGCAGGGAACAGGTGATGCGGGGAACTAATTCAAATCTAGTTTTAAAGCGCGATTGAACAAATCAATTTCACCGAATTTTCGGGAGTAGAAAAAGTCCTAGAGTTCAAACCTTCTTCACTGCTTGCCCGAGAAGGACCACGCAGGCTGACAACGGCGGACAGCGTCCGACGGAGTGTGGAATGCTTGTTCGTCGACGAAGAGAAACTGGATCCGGCACTCACGATAATGTGTTTTATCGAGGTTATAATTAATTTTAGGAAGAATTTGGTTATTAATTTATATTTTTTATCATATTCTATTAACTTATATTATGAATTTATATTCAACTCTTATATATCAAATAATATTCAAACAAGATAAGATTTTTTTTTTGAATTTTTGGATATATCAATTATACTTTTATTTTTTATTTTTTTCATTCTTATTTTTTATTTTTTCTCATGCCCATTTCTTCGCAATTTTTCTCAGATATAATTAAAAAGAATCTCAACTTTTTACCATGTTAAGTTAGATGAGAGAGGTGAAGTTGTTTTACAAAAAAAAAAAAAAAACAGTAGAACAGATAAAAATATAGTATGATGACACATAATTTTATATTAACAAAATCTTGCTCTTTTTATCTTATTTATAGGATAGGGAGAAAAAATCTTTTTATTCTATTTATAAGTTATTTTATTAAATTTTTTTTCATTTGACTTTTATTAAATGCTGGAAAGAGTAAATAAGTTATTAATATATATATATATATATTTAATTATTAAAAAAGAATATATTTAATAAGAATAAAATTAATAAATTATTAGATTTCTAAATATAATTAATAAATTTTAATTTTTTTAATTTCAGTAAATCATGTTAAAAGTATAATGAGAATTAGGATCAGGAGTATATTTTTCTTACTATTACAGTCCATCATGAACACGCCTTGCGTGCAAGCCGGAAGGAAGCTGTTCCAGTGTTAAATTGCTCACTTTTTTTGGCTTGGTTATATAAGTATCAGGAGATACATTGATTTAACCCAATCTAATTGTGAATAATATTCTAGTGTTTATTCACAATTAACAATGATATTTAAATAATTTATTTTGGATATAATAATGTTAATTACTATTAAACTGTTAATGAATGAAAATGTTGTAACTTGAAGTTAGAACTAAATAATTTATCAGAATTTAATGATTATAGTGTAGAAAACTCATTACCAAATTCAAATGGTTTCCTTTGGCTGGAAACTAAATTCAAGAGTTTGATAGCAAAAAAATTCGGTCGTATATAAAATTAAGTGTATAATGAGGGGGGCAAAATAGAGAGAAAGAAAAAAGAATCGCACGCGCACACATATATATAAGCTTGATCGGCCAACTAAACCAATCAAGTTTTTTTTTTTTTGGTGAAGACTGACTTGATGAATACGTCATGAGAACATATATTAAAAAATTTGAATCTTATTAAATTTAAAAATGCCTTTTAAATTGCGTGGCTTATACACGGGCACACCCCAACTCCTCCACTTTAACAATTTTCATGGGGATTGAAAGACAAAGGATTGGATTCAATATGGGCATAGCGGAACTTTATGTTGTGAAGGTCAGAATTCTTTGTTGGTAAAAAAAAAAAAAAAGTCATTTAAGAATATTCTAAAAAAATGTCAACTAAAGCACCAGGCCGGATGGTTTTATTGCTCTACATATCGGCTTGGAGGGAAGTGAAGGAGGAAGTAATTAAAATGGTAAAGCAGTTTTTTGAGGGTCATTCTGATTTG